AAGAGCACTGCCTTCAGTTTTCTCTCAGTACCAGAGAACTGTGAAAATGTAGCAGCAAATCTGCCTCCTCTTGCGTCAGCTTGCTGTTGCTTAATTAGGTGCTTATCCTAACACCTTAGAACAGATCTTCTGTATGTGGTTTCCTTCCCAAATCATCATATTTGCTTTTTCTCATAGTTTCTCCAACTTCTCATAACTTCTCTGTAGGCCATGTGGGCAGCTTTTTCTCTGAAACCTCACCTTCCATCCAGAACAGAAACCACATCACTTGCTTCTATTATTGCTCTCTGTAATGTTACCAGACATCTTTGCTCTTGGCCTTCTCCTAATCAATAGGTCAGTGCTATTTTTTTTTTTTTTTCTATTTTTAACCAACTAGTTTTATTTCTTACCTATTTTCCTAATATGGACAAGTCTTTTTGTTTTCAGCTCTTATTGATATTTAAAGCATCATACAGAAAGAAAAACAATACTTAAAAATGTTTTGAAACATGGTTTATTTTCCTGTTTTGCTTTCACATGCTGACAATGCAAAATGTATAGACACTCTATATACTATAGTCAAGTTGAGCATCCAGAGAAGAAATACTTAGCCTCTGATACTGATCTCCTTTGAATATACGTTGAGATAACTTACAAGATCAAAATATTCTATCCTATAATTATCACTTATTTACAATTGGCTGGTTATAGTGTTACTTCTTTACAATTTTACAATTGACTGATAAATATAATTGACAGTTGCCATAATAGAATTTATTAGCATACACATATAGTTACAAAATATTTGCATGTGTTAATCTGTGAATACTAAGTTATTCTCAATTTGAAATTTGCAGCCTGGACAACATTTGCAAGATTGTTATACTTTATGACATTTTTTTAGCTGGAGTACTTCCTATGTCTAAGTTATTAGAATTTTAGAGATTGACTTTAAAATATGAAAATTAAATCAGAAAGACAGGCAATTGGACTTCCTTCTCATGTTTATTACAAGTTTTACCAGGAACCTGGGTCTCATTTATGTCACCATGAATTTATTTTACAAGTTTTGTTTTGCAGAAATGTGCCAGAATTTGAATGCCTTATACATTTTTTTTTTTTTTTTTTGAAAAGCAAATACACTATGTAATATACTGACCTTTTCAGGTTCATTCTGATTGGTTAATGGCTACACCTTTACTACTCAGTCAGATTGTAAACAAGGGGAAAAATTGAGTATGTAAAGGTCAGCAAAGTTTAGTGACAGAATTTATGAAACCTTATACTGTTTCTATGAATAAAACTTAAATATAATTTACATATTTTCCTTATAATTATATATGTAAGAAATAGAGGTCTTTTAAAAATTAACTCATAACATAAATTACCAAATAGTTTCCTTAATTTTGTTTTAAATAAACTGTTAACCTTATTTATGTGTACCTTTCCCAAGAAAGCCATATTTATTCAGTAAACAGGCCTCAAACTGTCATTTTTAAAGATGAATGACATTGTGCTTGCATATAGTTACAGTAATACCTGAAAGTACTCAAGGTTTAAGTCTTTGTTGTTATTCAACTGTGTGTGTCTGGTTCCTAGAACATGGTGGCTTAATAAAGAATAACTATTCATTTAAAATTGAAATCTCAAAAGTAAATACAGTATGTAACCTGTACCAATGTAACCTGAGTAAGATGAAACCTGTCAAAGAAGGAAAACTCAAATATTTTCTACAAAAACAAGTGATGGAATAGTGATAAGATTGTACTGTGTCAAAGATGGAAAACTTAATAAAACCAAAGACTCATGGAAACAATTAGTCCTGGTGACTGGTACACCATGTGATCCACAGCCTATATGACTATGAGACCAGAAGAACTAGAAGGTGTCCAGCTACCACTGTCAACAACTTGCAGGGGGATCTATGTAGGAGATCCTGGATAGAGAAGGAGAACAATGTGGAACAAAACTCAAAATCATTTGGATAAAAAAAAAAAGTGGGGGACTAGGTTTGCTGGTCTGATAGAGCCTGGTGGAACCACTGAGACTATGGACCCTAGACATTAGGTCTGGAATTGAACCCACATCTGTGGCTTTCCAGCCAAACAAAAGACAGGCGTATGAGCTGAACATTTACCTGAGGTAGATACACTCCTTGGAGAGAACAATTATGGGAAAAAGAAGGGTTGTTTATGTCCAGAGCAACAGCTCAGGGGGCAGGAGTGCATGGAGGGATGAACACGGGGAAGAGGTAACTATTAGAAGGAAATGGGAGGAGAGCTGTTGCAGTGGGGTAAATTGTAGTCAATGTCATGAGACAAAGTGTATGTGAACTGCTGTATGAAAAATGAATTTGATCTGTAAATCTTCACCCAAATCACAATTAAAAAAAAAAAAAAAAGATGGGAAACTTGCAAGACCTGGAAATACAAGACAATCTTGTTGAGTTCTGGCTCTCACGTGTCTCACCATATAAACAAACATTATAAATAAGTATCCAAAGATAGATAGAGGTATTCAAGTACTAAAATCTTAGAAATCCTTAGAACAGACTTCCAGAATTATTAACACTCCCACCTCACTGTGGACATAATGGAAAAGAAAATCCTCTTTGGTGTAGAATTATCCTTTGAGTTCCAACTAAGGAACATAACTGAAAAAAGCTGGAAACTATAACTTATGTGAGTAGTCAAGAAGAATTGATCAAGAAGAGCAATCATCAGCAGAAAATGTTTAGATAAGGCCTCTTTCACTTGAATTTACATGGGAGTGGAGAAAATGACATTGTGAAAAGGAGAAGAATGAAAAGTATAGAGAGGAGGTATTGTTACAGAAACCTAAGTGACAATGAGAAGTAGAGATTGGGTGTAGAAAGAATTACCAATCCTGAGAATTGAGAACAGGGTAAGGGGAAAATTGAATGGTTTTCTAGAATGAGTAAGATAGTCACATGCATATTAATAATAATATATATCTATATACTCCAAGGAGTCTGATTTTGGCACAAACAAAGACACTGTATCTCTATATTGTAGGCATAAATCATGTGGGAGTGGGATGGTACAGAAGAAAGACAATCTGCTACTTTTACCAATATAGCTATGGAGTTGGGCAGCAGGATAAAAAACCATACAGACCTCTGCTGTAGGTGATAGAGCTTCATTTTAAGTATTTAAAGAAAGAATCATAACAGTGGAAGATATCATTGATAGTAATCTAAGACGGATGGGGGGCAGCTTCTGACATGGCTCCCAGTGATCCTACTTCCTGACACTAACCTTATGTAATCCCCTCTCCTTAAGTGTTAGCTGGACCTAATGTCTTGCTTCCAATGAACAGAATATGCCAGAAGTGATGGGGTGTCATTTCCATGATTAGGTTACTAAAGATTGTGACTTTCACCTTGTTAGCACTCTCTCTCTTTTTCTGGCACTTTCTCTCTCTTGCTGGCACTCTCTTTGCCCACTCCATACTAAGATAAAGACAGCTACCATGTTATGGGATTCTTTATGGAGAGGTCTTGAGACAATGGGCTCCTCAGTACATTAAACACTACAAACTAAATCCTGCCAATAACCAACCAAGTGAACTTATAAGTGACCACTTCCCAGATGTGCCTTGATGGAGAGCAGCCTTGTGAGAGAGCAAGAGACAGGAAACAGCTGAACCAGGATTCCTAGGCAACAAACACTGTGAGATAACAAATGTGTGTTGCTTTAAGCTGCTAAAGTTTGATATAACTTGTTACATACAAGTGTTATTGTTCAGTGCTGGCAAGTTGGTTCTGACTCATAGTGACCCTATGTACAACAGAGCTTAACACTGCCCAGTTGTGCACCATCTTCACAATTGTTGCTCTTTGAGCTCATTACTGCAGCCATTGTTAATCCATCTCATTGAGGATCCTCTTTTTTGCTGACTTTGTAGTTCACCAATGGGAGCTCTGGTGGTGCAGTGCCTAAGGAATGTGCCTGCTAATCAGAAGGCTGGCAGTTCAAATCCATCAGCCACTCCTCAGAAGGAAGATTGGGCAATCTACTTCCATAAGATTAAGCCTTGGAAACCCAAGAAGTGGTCGCTATGAGTTCAATCGACTCAATGGCAGTGAGTTTGGTTTTCTTGTACTTCACCAAAAATGATGTCCTTTTCCAGGACTGGTCTCTCCTGATAATATGTCCAAAGTACATGAGATGACATCTCGCCATCCTCACTTCTAAAGAGCATTTGGCTGTACTTCTTCCAAGAGAGATTTGTGCATGCTTCTGGTGGTCTGCAGTATATTTAATGTTCTTCACCAACACAATAATTAAAAGGAATCAATTCTTCTTGAATCTTCCTTATTCATTGAACAGTATGTGCATGTATATGAGGTGATCGATAATACCATGGCTTGTGTCAGGCACATGCTAGTCCTCAAAGTGACATCTTTGATTTTTAATACTTTAAAGGTTTTTTTTTTTTTTTTCCAGATTTGCCCAGTGCAATATGTCATTTGATTTCTTGACTACTGTTTCCATTGGCATTGATTGCGAATCCAAGTAAAATAAAATCCTTGATGACTTCAATCTTTTCTCCATGTATCATGAGGTTGCTTATTGGTCCAGTTGTGAAGATTTTTATTTTCTTTATATTGATGTGTAATCTGTATTGAATGCTATATAGTCTTTGATCTTCATCAGTAACTGCTTCAAGTCCTCCTTCAGCAAGCATGGTTGTTAATGAGTCTTCCTTCAATCCTGATTCCATGTTCTTTTTCATATAATTCAGCTTCTCAGATAATTTTCTCAGAATACAGATTGAATAAGTATGATGAAAGGATACAATTCTGATGCACACCTTTCCTGATTTTAAACCATGTAGTGTCCCCTTATTCTATTTGAATGATTGTCTCTCTGTCTATGTACAGGTTTTACATGAGCACAAATAAGTGTTCTGGAATTCCCATTCTTTTCAATGTTTGCCATAGTTTGTTATGATCCACACAGTTTGATACATATGCATAGTGAATAAAACACAAGTAAGCATTTTTTTCAGGTATTTTCTGCTTTTATCCAAGCTCCTTCTGATGTAGGAAATAATATCTTTCATTTCATGTCCTCTTCTGAACTCGGCTTGAATTTCTGACAATTCCTTGTCAATATATTGCTACAATCATTTTTTACTTACCTTCAGGAAAATTTTACTTGCCTGTAATATTAATAATATTGTTTTATAATTTCTGCATTCTGTGGAATCACCTTTTTTGAAACAGGCACAAATATGGATCTCTTTCTATATGTTGGGCAGGTAACTGTCTTCCAAATTTCTTGGCATAGATGAGTGAGCACTTCTAGTATTGCATCCTTTTGTTGAAACATCTTAGTTGGTATTTCATCAATTCCTAGAGTCTTGTTTTCCTTCAGTGCTTCAGTACAGGTTGGACTTTATCTTTTAATATTATCTGTTCTTGATCATATGCTACCTCCTGAAATGGTTGAATGTTGAACAGTTCTTTTTTGCAAGTCTTTGTATTCTTTCCATCCTCTTTGTATGCTTCTTACATTATTAAGAATTTTCCCCATAAAATATTTAAATATTACAATTCATGTCTTGAGTTTTTTTTATTATTCAGTTCTTTCATTTTGAGAAATGCCAAGCATATTCTTACATATCAATAGACAACAAATATATTGTTGTTAAGTGCCTTGAGTCATCTCCGACTCATAGCTACCCTATGCACGCTAGAACGAAACACCACCCAGTCCTGAGCCAGCTCCATGATTCTTACTAAACTTGAGCCCAAAAACCGTGGACTGCTTTCTCCAGATATGTCCTGGAGAAAGTACAGCTGAGATGCTTCTTGGAAGTGAGGATGGCCAGACTTCATCTCACCTATTTTGGTCATGTTGTCAGAGGGGACCATTCCCTGGAGAAGGATGTCATGCTTGGTAAGGTGGAGGATCAATGAAAGAGGGGAAGGTCTTCTACAAGATGGATTGACATGGTGGCTGTGACAATGGGCCCAAGTACAGCAAAGATCATGGAGCTGGCATGGAATCGGGCAGTGTTTCATTCTGCTGTGCATGGGGTCGCTATGAGTCAGAAATGACTCAATGGCACCTAACAACAACAACAACAAGGAAGAGCTAGAAACAGGAAGACTCTCTACACCAGGGCTCATCACACTATTACCCATGGCCAAAATCTGGCCCAAAAACTGTTTAAATAAATAAAATTCTATTGGACATAGACAGGGCCATTTAATGTGTGTTGTCTATAATGACATCTAGTATCATATGACTTCCAAGGCCAAAAGTATTTACTATCTGTCCCTTTATAAAAAATTTTCATAGATCTAGATCCCTAATCTGGATCATAAAATGAATTTTAGGTGAGAAATGAGAAAAACAATTAAAACAAACAAGTGATGTTATAAGCATAAGTTAGTAGGGTACTACCAATAAAAATGAAAAGGTGAAGTCTGTGTTGTGTGCTGGGTGTATGTATGTATGTAACGATAGTTGTTTTAATAATATAGAGAAGTCAGTGATGGTGCCTAGATGTTTCTGGATTGACAATACCTTCTCTTTATATTTAAGTTAAATATTGGAGGGATACATCTTTTTTCCATCTAACACTTAGGTATAATTCCCCAGTCAGCTGATCCGATTATTTTCAGTGATGATCAGCTGCACAAAGGCAATAGCACTATTGCTTGACAAAGGATAACAACTGAAGGAGAGGATGACTGCATGATTCTAGGATATCTTGCATGAAGATCTAAAAACTAACTATAGCACTGAACATTTGGAAAAGGGAGGAAAGCACCAGGAGGTGAGAGCAACATTAAAAGGAAAACAGTTTGCACCCAAAGTGAACATTTGTTCTCATGCTTCCTCTGGTATGTATACCAAGGATACAAAATACTTGATTTTTCATTAATAAAAATATTTAATTTTATTAGCTTTTTAATATGATGTGAAGTTATAGGGGCAATTATTTTTAAAAGTGCAAGAATTTCTTTTTGTTGTTGTTGTCTAAATTCTCTATTAAATAAAACTGGTGTTCTACTACATAGTATTTAAAAATCAAAAATACATGCATAGTGCTGCTCAGGGTTCACTAGATTAAAGATTAATATAGTCTAATCAGCAGAGCAGGACTAAGCATTCGAATATCAGGCATAGATATAGAATTATTGATACATCTATGAATTTCAACTATCTAAGAGCACATGCCTTGTCCAGGGATTTGGGCAAAATGTCAAGCAAACACTGAACAAATAATACTAATTAAAGCTTGAAATTGAAAATTATGAAGTTTTTACTAAGCCACAGAAAACATTTTATGATAAGAATGAATTATTTATGTAATAACAAAAGCTATTTTCATATTTTTAAAGAGGAAAACAATAAATGCTTCCCAGAGCATTGAAGAACACTATCTGTGACAATATCCACTAGGCCAGGAAATGAATGAGCTAATTTGCATCTCTGTCAAAATATTCAATCTGTGGTCGAACAAGACAAAATGCTGGGGGTACAAAGAACCTAATTAGCTCATGTTCCATCTAATACCTTCTCCAGATGTTAGAACATTCCTAAGATCATGCTTCTTTTCCTCTAATATTTACCTTCTTTAAATATGTACCAACTATTGACTCATTCAGCTCTTCCTTCTCTTCCTATTTCCTCAGAATCTTTTGATAATTGATGCTAATATGCCTCTTTGTCATTCACTACAATGTGGTTGTCAGGATTTATTTTTTCATTGCTTCTCCCTCCTTCGCCCTAAGTCCTATAGGCCAAAGTAAATTATTCAGTCAGCACCACCAGAGAGGGTAGTTCCCAGTAGTATTCCTGATGTTTTCACCAGTGATACCTATGCTATATCACAGCTCTCTCCAGGGATACCTCTCAAAGGTTTATGTATCACACACTTAGGCCAACTGACCTAAGAATAAGATACATTGCCACATTCTATGCTGCTTCTTCATTATATGTTGGCTAAATTTACTATCTTTGCTCCATATACCTGTAAGGTACTTTCTCAAGATGAGACAGGAGAAATAACAATATTATTTCTCAGAATTATTAATGTAATACCAAGAAATTCCTGTTTTTGTGTCTCTACCAGAGTCATGGCCACTTATAGAACCACTTTCTGGAATTAGTTGTTGTTATGTGCCGTCACCATTGAGTCACCTTACATCCTAACAGGATGAATTTTACCTTTTTCTTTGCATTGAAGAAACAGTCCTGGGTGGCTCATTGGTTTCCATGACAAGCAAGCAAAAATGAAATGACTTTATTCTATATTTATTTTGTTCTATGAAGATTGCATGAAATGAATAATTTTTTGAATATTCAATTGTTTTGGGAAAAAGAATTAATACATGATTAAAAATAAAGTTTTAAAAATAAAATGACACCTAAGTTTGTAATTAATATAGGTCATACTATGCCAACAGAATTGCTATAACCACTAAAAGTCAAACGAATTTTTTAAAATATAACTTTAAAGACAAAGTTGGAACAACAACAAGAACTAGATGGACTAAGATTTACAAAGTGGATAACTTTCCCACATGAGCTGACATTCACAAATGCTTACTTCTCTGGGTGCATTTTCTGAGTGTGGCTGGAGGCTGAAGTTTGGAAATGACCTAGACATACTCTGGTGTAAGATAAGCAGAGGCACAGAAAACTAATTTTTGTTATGTTATGTTTGTTGACTTTGGAGGCTCTGTAAGAGACAAAAGAATTATGCATCAAACTACTGAAAGTCAGAATAAAATCTTTCAGGTTATCACAAAGATTAGGAGATAGAATCACTGAAAATGAGGGGTTCTATTTCAAATACATAACCAGTCTGCCCTCAATATACTTCTCAAAGTTTGAAGCTGTCAGAAGTGAGATGCTAAAGAACTAAGCTCAATATTTCTGAAAGTTAAAACTTAATCTCCAGGAGAATTTTAAACCTAAGGATAAATGGACCCATTCAGCTCTCACTTGAGTTGTTGTTCTTGGTAGGTGCCATTGAGTCAGCTCCAACTCATAGTCACCTATGTACAACAGAATGAAACACCACTTGGGCCTCTGCCACCCTCAAAATCCTTGCTATGCCTGAGCCCATCATTGCAGCAACTGTGTCAATCCATCTCATTGAGGGCCTTCCCATTTTATGCTGACCCTCCACTTTGCCCAAGTGTGATAACCTTCTCCAGGGAATGGTCCCTTCTGACAACATGACCAAAATAGGTGAGATGAAGTCTGGCCATTCTCACTTCCGTGGAGCATTTCATCTGCACTTCTTCCAGGATATATTTGAGTTCATACTTCTGGTAGTCCATAGTACTTTCAGTACTTTGTCCACACCACAACTCAAAACCATCAATTCTTCTCTGGTCTTCCTTATTCATTGTCCTGTCCAGCTTTCACGTATGTATGAGGCTATTGAAAATAACTTGGCTTGGGTTAGGTGCATCTTAGTCTTCAAAGAGACATCTTTGCTCTTCAGCACATTAAAGAGGTCTTTTGTAGCAGATTTGCCCAGTGCAGTACATTGTCTAATTTCTTGACTGTTGCTCCCATTGGTCCTGATTGTGGAACCAAGTAATAATTCAATCTTTAACCACTTCAATCTTTTCTCCATTTATTATGATGCTGTTTATTGGTCCAGTTGTGAGCATTTTCATTTTTGTGTGTTGATTAAAGAGGTTTGGTAGCACAGTGTCTAAAGGCATCTGGCTGCTAACCAGAAGGTTGGTGGTTCAAACCCACCAGCCACTTTGCAGAAGCAAGACTGGGTGATCTACTTCTGTAAAGATTTAACACTATGGAAACCCAATGAGGGTTGCTATGAGTTGGCGTCAACATAGTGACAATGTTTTTTTTTTCTGGTTTTATGCTGAAGTGTAATCCATACTGCAGACTGTAGCCTTTAGTCTTCATCAGTAAGTACTTCAAGTCATCTTCACTTTCATCAAGCAATATTGTGTCTTCTGTATATCCCAGGTTGTTAATGAGTCTTCCTCCAATCCTGGTGCTATATTC